CATACAGGACAGGTAAGGTGTCGCATACAGGACAGGTAAGGTGTCACATACAGGACAGGTAAGGTGTCACATACAGGACAGGTAAGGTGTCACATACAGGACAGGTAAGGGGTCAGATACAGGACAGGGAAGGTGTCAGATACAGGACAGGTAAGGTCTCACATACAGGACAGGTAAGGTCTCGCATACAGGACAGGTAAGGTCTCGCATACAGGACAGGTAAGGTCGCGCATACAGGACAGGTAAGGTCGCGCATACAGGACAGGTAAGGTCTCGCATACAGGACAGGTAAGGTGTCGCATACAGGACAGGTAAGGTGTCGCATACAGGACAGGTAAGGTGTCACATACAGGACAGGTAAGGTGTCACATACAGGACAGGTAAGGGGTCAGATACAGGACAGGTAAGGTGTCAGATACAGGACAGGTAAGGTCTCGCATACAGGACAGGTAAGGTGTCACATACAGGACAGGTAAGGTGTCACATACAGGACAGGTAAGGTCTCAGATACAGGACAGGTAAGGTATAAGAACAGATCCAGCACACCTGCCTGGGAAGACGTTCACTTACGGTAATAGTTGACATTCCGGACCCAGGTCTGACCCTCGCGACCTTCGGTTCCAGGCCGAGGCGGCATTGGTCTCGTCACTAAGAACTCCTCCATGATGGAGAGGGTGGACAGGCTCTGACTGTGGGGAGAAGACGCCGTTACCTCAGGCTGTCCAGGATACTTCCACACTTCCTGTTCCTGGGCCGGGGGAGGACCACTCACCTGAAGACCAGGAGCTTGTCACCCAGCTTCATGCTCTCCTCGATCAGGTGAAAGAGAAGCACCATCTTCGGGGAGTTCTGCAGCTGACCCGGCTGGTAGTCAAACATAATTTCTTTGGCCTGGAGGATCAGGAGAGGCAGATGTGAGGGATCGGGAGAGGCAGATGTGAGGGATCGGGAGAGGCAGATGCGAGGGATCGGGAGAGGCAGATGCGAGGGATCGGGAGAGGCAGATGCGAGGGATCGGGAGAGGCAGATGCGAGGGATCGGGAGAGGCAGATGGGAGGGATCAGGAGAGGAAGATGTGAGGGATCGGGAGAGGCAGATGGGAGGGATCGGGAGAGGCAGATGTGAGGGATCAGGAGAGGCAGATGGGAGGGATCAGGAGAGGCAGATGGGAGGGATCAGGAGAGGAAGATGTGAGGGATCAGGAGAGGAAGATGTGAGGGATCAGGAGAGGAAGATGCGAGGGATCAGGAGAGGCAGATGCGAGGGATCAGGAGAGGCAGATGCGAGGGATCAGGAGAGGCAGATGGGAGGGATCGGAGAAGATGTGAGGGATCAGGAGAGGAAGATGTGAGGGATCAGGAGAGGCAATGGGAGGATCAGGAGAGGCAGATGCGAGGGATCAGGAGAGGCAGATGCGAGGGATCGGGAGAGGCAGATGCGAGGGATCGGGAGAGGCAGATGCGAGGGATCGGGAGAGGCAGATGGGAGGGATCGGGAGAGGCAGATGGGAGGGATCGGGAGAGGCAGATGGGAGGGATCGGGAGAGGCAGATGCGAGGGATCGGGAGAGGCAGATGCGAGGGATCGGGAGAGGCAGATGCGAGGGATCGGGAGAGGCAGATGCGAGGGATCGGGAGAGGCAGATGGGAGGGATCGGGAGAGGCAGATGGGAGGGATCGGGAGAGGCAGATGTGAGGGATCGGGAGAGGCAGATGTGAGGGATCGGGAGAGGCAGATGCGAGGGATCGGGAGAGGCAGATGCGAGGGATCGGGAGAGGCAGATGCGAGGGATCGGGAGAGGCAGATGCGAGGGATCGGGAGAGGCAGATGCGAGGGATCGGGAGAGGCAGATGCGAGGGATCGGGAGAGGCAGATGCGAGGGATCGGGAGAGGCAGATGCGAGGGATCGGGAGAGGCAGATGCGAGGGATCGGGAGAGGCAGATGCGAGGGATCGGGAGAGGCAGATGCGAGGGATCGGGAGAGGCAGATGGGAGGGATCGGGAGAGGCAGATGCGAGGGATCGGGAGAGGCAGATGCGAGGGATCAGGAGAGGCAGATGTGAGGGATCAGGAGAGCCAATGGGAGGGATCAGGAGAGGCAATGGGATGATCAGGAGAGCCAATGGGAGGGATCAGGAGAGGCAATGGGATGATCAGGAGAGGCAATGGGAGGGATCAGGAGAGGCAATGGGATGATCAGGAGAGGCAGATGTGAAAGGGAATGTTTTCTAGCTTCTATTTATTTATGGTTATAAAAAAATATGTTTATAGAACTCAATAGCTTAAGCTGCAATTGACACACAAACGTAAATGAGTAACAGTAGGGACTGATACTCTCTCTTTAGATCCCGTTCACACGGAGCGTTTTGTAGCGCAATTTCCACTGAAAAGTCGCTCAAATATGAAGCTTAAAAGGAGAACTACGAGGCGAGTGATAATCACTGATCCTCATAGTTCTAGCCGACCTGTGACAATGAGACTGACACAAGTCGGCTCTGTAGATCGGGAACCACTCGTCGCCCACTTCTTGCTCCTATCCCTGCAGAGAGCCGAGACTGTCACTCACGGCTCCCTGCAGGTATTTCCCCCCTACAGCTCAACGTTAGGTTGTCGCTCGAGCGTGAGATATTTTCTGGCGGATTTCGAGCGATTTGGCCCCAATAGACTTTTGATAGATTGCCAAAAGAAGCGCGACGCAGCGCAACAAGATGCGCAATGTCGCTCAGCTTAAATTGACGTCGAAAAAGCACTTATTTTGGTTGTAGATCAGTGTGAATGGGGTCTGAAAGAATAAGTGAAGTGCAAAACAAAGTGCACTTACCCCTCTTGTTCCTTAGCCCAGACCTATCGCCGCTCCCCCTCCCCTGACACATATTGACCCTGAACAGAAGGGCCACGGCCTCCGGTGTCTGTTTACATCCAATGCTGCGAGTCCCACGGTCCCGGCTTGTGCATTGCAGCCCAGTAGACTTCTAGAGACCGTCCCATAGAAATCTATTGGGCTGTCATTAAAGGGCCGGGATGCTGACAGACAGTGGAAGCCGTGGCTGTTGGATTGAGGTACCTTGTTTCCCTGAAAATAAGACCTAGTTGTGACCATTCCCAGGGCCGGTGGTGGCATAAGGGGGAACTTGAAGAGCCGCGGGAGAGAATCAGCGGTGCCAAAGAAGCCGACGCTAGAGGGAGCGAGGCGGCACCGGAGGGAGCAGAGCCGCATAAGCCGATGCTTCCTCTATAGCCCCGCCTCCTGTCACAGGCCGAGTCATACCAAATGCACTCCGCCTGTGAGGAAGCGATATTGAAAGTGCGCTTCGCTTTTTCTTGTTACCAAATTGCTCTTGGAAAGGTACGGCGCCCCCAATTGCCCTGATCACCCTATTCTTAACTTTGCCATTTTGGATTATTTAATTTGGATTTGCATTAACTTTGGATTGTTGTACATTAAAAAAATAAATAAGACCTCCCCCGAAAATAAGACCTAGTGTGTTTTTTTTGAGCCAAAAACAACATAAGACAGTGTCTTATTTTCGGGGAAACACGGTAAGTACGCATCTGTGGAGGGGTAGGAAGGGTTACGTCAGGGAGGGGAAAGGGGGCAAAAATGATAAGTGCACTTATTTTTTTTATTTAAAGGAGAAGTACGGGGTCGGGGGGTTTTCCCCATAGTTCTCCTCAGGGTCACAGGGGGACACAAACTAGCGTCCTCCCGTCACCCTAAGCTTAGTATATAGGGAGCTACAGCTCGCGGTATACTGAGACGCCGCAGCCGGGGCGGATTCCGACATTACTGTCTGTGTCCACCCAGCTGTGTGAGTGACAGCTGGCTCCGCCTATCTAGAGACAGAGCCAGCTGTACCCGCCCCCTCCCCCGTCCGTTCCGCCAGTCAGCGCTGGCGGATCGGAGGGGGGAATCCAGCCCCTCCCCCTGTCATGGCAGAGAGCCGTGACAGGATCGAGAGGTGAGCGAACGCCGGTATGTGTTCCCTCACCTCCCGATCTACTGAGCCGACCTGTGACAGTCTCATTGTCACAGGTCGGCTCCAACTATGAGGTGAGTGGAAATCAACCCCCCCCACCCCCTCACCCTCATAGTTCTCCTTTAAAACTTGAAATGCAGAAATCTTCGTTTTAGTGCTGGAAAGAAAAAACCATCAGGGGTGGCCAAACTCCAGCCCTCCCAGCTGTGGGGTGAAACTACAAATCCCATGAAGCATCTCTCTCTGGGAGTCATGTCTGTGGCTGTGAGAATCTTGCAAAGCCTCGTGGGATTCGTAGTTCCACCCACAGCTGGAGGGCCGGAGTTCGGCCACCCCTGGGCTATGTCATCACAAGCGCTGGTAATGTAGGTGCAGCGAAACACCTCGAAGGTCTCTATCCGGCCTGTGATAGGCCTTCCGTGCATTCTCCCATTGCGCTTACCCACTCGTAGGTAACTACTTGATTGGCTCTCTCTTGGTTTGGGTTCATGGGCAGACCCTGCAGGAGCTTGCTGTCGGCAGCTTCTCCCATAACCGCCGCCAGGGTTCCAGGCTCCGTCTTGACCTTCGAACCCTTAGATTGGCATCGGGTATTGGTAGCTAGATCCTCTATATCCAAATCCTTCTCGTTGGCCAGATTCTCCTTCTGGAGAGCTTCGTACAGAACATCCGGATGGTTCCAGATCTGAAAGGGAAATAAAAGAATTGACACACTTGTGCTTAAACCAGATCTTCCATGAATGGTTCGCCTCCCTGCCGCCTCTGCGTGTGATGGGATCACCACCATGACCATTAATATGGAGTTGCCACCACCATGGACATTAATACGGAGTTGCCACCACCATGGACATTAATACGGAGTTGCCACCACCATGGACATTAATACGGAGTTGCCACCACCATGACCGTTAATATGGAGTTGCCACCACCATAACCGTTAATATGGAGTTGCCACCACCATGACCATTAATACGGAGTTGCCACCACCATGGACATTAATACGGAGTTGCCACCACCATGGACATTAATATGGAGTTGCCACCACCATGGACATTAATATGGAGTTGCCACCACCATGGGCATTAATATGGAGTTGCCACCACCATGGGCATTAATATGGAGTTGCCACCACCATGGGCATTAATATGGAGTTGCCACCACCATGGGCATTAATATGGAGTTGCCACCACCATGGGCATTAATATGGAGTTGCCACCACCATGGGCATTAATA